CCCTTTCTGCCTCGGTTCCCTCGTCCGTAAAACGGGTCGTTGTGAGGATTAAACGAGCAAAAGCCTCAGAGGCGCTCAGCACAGACAGGCACGAGGTGAGCCACGCGGCCGCTGCCATGGCTGCCAGACCCACAGGAACCAGGCTTGCGCCAGGTCCAGAGGGCAGGGTGGACCGAGGCCTCGGGGTCACAAAAGGCCTGGCCCCAAGGCAGGAGAGAACGGAGCCCGGGGGACGGCCACCGAGGGCCAGGGACTGTGGGGGACGGGCGGGGCCCTGACTGCTGAGCAGGGATGGGCATCTCGCTGAAGAGGGTCGTGGACCCCAAGTGCAGAGCTGCGACGGGGGGACAGTGTGGCCCCAGGCGATGACAGCGCCTCAGAAAGGTCCGGCTGGCAGTCGGCGGCGACAGCAGAGCAGAGCTCGGAACCGAGGAGACGCTCTGCGCGCGGGACATCCCCGTCCCCCCGTGGGCAGGAGACCCGGGCGCCAGACCCTGCTTGTCCATCAGCCTGCCGGTCCCCGGCTTCTTGGAACCCGGGCCCCTGACCCACCGCAGGACAGCGGCACCGGTCCCGGCAGTGAGAGAATTCGCGTGCCTGCAGATCCCTGGTGCTCCCGCGCTCCCGCCTCCTCCCGAGAAGGGGCTGCAAGGCCTCCCCACTCGGGGATGGTCTGCACTGGCCCTCAGAGGGCTCCGGGGGCCACAGGAACCGAGGAACTGAAGCCCGTGTAGCCTCCTCACTTCCCCAAATCGGCAGCTGACCGTCAGGTAAAGGGCAGGGGGAGACAGAAAAGTCCAGACGCCCTGCGGGAGGACAGCACCGCGGGGCAGGGTGGGGGTCCTCTGCAGGCCTCCGCCTCCTTGAAACTCCAGCCCAGGGCGACGGGCAATGCCAGGAATGCTCTCGCTCCCTGCCTCCCCTCTCTGGGGCATTCCAAGGGCTGGGGTTTTTCCTCTTGAAATGTCAGTAGCATGAGAGAGGAATTCAGCATGGGGTCCCAGGGGCACCCTACCCCCAGCGCGCCTGCCAAGCTGACGGATGAGTGGGTGGGAAGAGGCCGACCGCGACCCCCCCACCCCCGCCGCCCCGGCCCCCGGCCCCTGCTGGGACAGGCAGCGCTCCCTCTGAGCCTCCCTTCCATGACGAAGAGGTCAGAGCAACAGGGGCACCGGCTGGGTCGCCAGGGAGGGAGGAGGGGCCCAGGCAGGGAGGACGGGCTGGAAGACGGAGAGGGATTCCAAGACATGGGTGTTAGGTCTGTGTGCCTGCCTGGCCAGCAAGGGCTCTCCTACAAGAGCTGTGCTTCACTGGGCAGCGACCCCGGTCCCCAGCACAGCACCAGCTCCCACTCCGTGGGTGGAACCACGACGGGCTGGCCTAAAGGAAGGAGCCCACACAGAGGTGCAGCTGTTGGGCAAGAAAACTCCAAGCCGCTGGGGTTCTCAGCTCTGCCCCCCGACGGCTGACCTTGGGACAGGCTCCCCCTGGCCCGTTCTCTGGCTCTCAGGGGTCGGGAGTCAGAGCTGAGGAAGAGCTGGACACCGCTGACGCGCGCTGAGTCTGCTGGACTGAAGAGGTGGAGGACGGCGTGAGGTTGCCCCGCCCTACGTGGCCAGGAGTACGTGTTCAGTGAATGGGGAAAATGGCTGAAGGGATGATGGTGAGTCCAGAGCTTTTCTCCTGCGTGAGTTCTGCCTCCAATCAAGCCCTCCTCTCCCTGGGCTGCTGCTGGAGGGTTTACTCCTCTCAGCCTTAAGCACAACAGCTGACACAGTGATGTACAATAAATGTCCGCTGAATTTTTAAACCAATGGGTGATGTCATAGAGGCAGGGAGTAGAAGGGTGGTTGCCAGGGCCTGGGGGAGGGGCCTCGGGAGTTAGGGTTCGATGGGACAGCGTTTTAGTGTGGGAAGGGGAGGGAATTCTGCAGCCGGACGGCGGGGTCGGCGGCACAACGTCGCGAATGTACCGACGACCCCAGAGCTGTGCCCTGAAAGACGGCCAAGATGGTACAGCTTATGTTCAGAGTATCTCACCCCAATTGGAAATGGAAATTTAAAAAAGAGACCAGTGCACGATGGGTAAACAATGGAAGGAAACAAGCCGACGTCACAGCTGCCAGGCTACAGAATCACAGACAACAAACCGCCAGAGTCTCGGCAACCCTCCCCCAAGAGCTGTGATCTGTTCCCCACACCGTGAATCCAGGCGGGCCTGTCCCCCGACGGGACCAGCAAAACAAAGTGGAGGTGACACGGTGCGGGAGGCCTAACGATCTCTTCCTCCGCCACACACGTGGCCCAGCTGACAGCCAGGCCAACGGGACACGGAAGCGAGGCTTTCTCAGCTCCCCTCAGGCTGTCATATGACACATGAGCCATGCAGAGGCGGCGAGCAGCGGCCTGCCCAGACGGCTGACCCCCCGGATCACAAAGCCGGGGGCAGTCTGTTGTGTCAACAGATAACTGACGGGGTGAGGAATCTGCTGAGGGAGGGCAAGTCGCAGGCCCCGAGTCGCCCACCCTGCACCTGGAGTTCAGGCCCCCTGCCCTGGATAAGGCCACCTCCCGCCTGCAGCTCTCCAAAGGGGATCTGATCCGTCTGGAAGTCCTAAGGCAGAGAGTGACACAGTCCAGGACTCAGGGGACAGACGGGGCGCTCCAAGCCTGAGGCTGGGAGGGGTGAGCGGAGGACTTGGTAGAACTTGATGTTGACTCATGAGAACAGATGTAGGGACAAGCGCCTCCCCGCTCTGGAATGCTGCCCACAAGGTACTAACGCTAAACAATACAAATCGGACCTCAAGAGGGCACCCCGAAAGGCAAGGCCACACAGTGAGCCCCACATCTGTGAAATAAGCTGCTTCTCGTTGAAAGCGAACAGGAAATGGAATGGAGAACTCCGACCGACAAAGGCTGTGCTTTCTGCTACAGGACACAGGCGAACATGGGTGGCATGCTAACTGGATTTTATCGAGCTTTCTCAGTGCGCCAGGTTCCCAAGGGACCCGCTGGTGTCTGTGGACAATGACCGCAGCACAAGCATGATCCGCACTGGCCCGTATTAGCATCCTGCTCTCCAGGCCTTGTGCCGGCGCCTGTCCCCAACACCGGCCCCGGAGCTGAGCCCCGGGTCAGCAGCTGCCCTGGGCCCCGCCCCGTCCTTGTCCGGAAATGTCACCTGCGCAGATTAACTAATAACACACAACTTGGGCCGTCCCACGAATAGCTCATTCGGGAACATTTAACAAGGTAAATTCTTGAGAGAGCACACACTCTTCCGGGGCACACAACGGACTTAGGCCCTAGGACATCCTCAGCGCGTATTTTGACTTCTCTGTTCTCCCGTCGCCGCGGCAGCCTCAGACCAGGGCCCGCCCAGGCCGGGAACATCGGAACATCGGTGTTGCCTCGCAGGCCTCCGCACGCAGGTTGTCACTCCCGCGGCCCGGCGCCTGTTTGCCCATTGCCCACCCCCCCCATCTCATCTACAGGACTTGTGCGCCTCCGTTACCTGTTCGGGGAGCCCATGTACATTCAAGGAATTGAGGACCGTGGCTGAATGCCAACGTGATCTCCTACAGCTTCCTTTACACGGCACCAGACAAGGTTTTACCGTTGGATTTAGGAGATGTGGTCATTCCAGGCTGCTCCCGGATGACCTTCTGTGCTCCCTGCCACCCTGCCCTCAGCGGCCCCTTCATGCCCAGATCCCTAGGGGGACTGCAGCTTCCGGCCACCACTGCCCCTAGCCTGCTCTCTGCACTGGCCCAGGGTTTAACCTGCAGTGGAAGCTAAAACGACACATGCAGGATGCGGATGTTTGGGGCCCACCACAGGGGCCGCCGAGGGCAGACGCAGCTATGCTCACGGAGAACACGTTGTCCTTCTGCACGAACACCGCGTGCTCCCCAACCGCACCTTCAGTCCGACGTGAGGGCCGCCTCGGCTGAACCCTTGTTCAATATTTCACCGAAGGCCCCCGTGGGGGAGCCTCTTCCAGACCCCTTCTTGCTTCGCCCCACTCGAACCCACCCCCACCCTCCTCAAAAGCCCCCTGGGTGCCCGTTTCTCATGAGATGAGCAACTAGGGGAACAAGAGGAAAACCAAGAACCATCCCCGTCAAGTGACGCACTTGAAAGCCCCCGTCTGACCTCAAGCCTAAGCCTCGCCACCCCATTATGGAAAGAACCCTCGGACACACGGCACTAAACGTTCTAGAATGCAGAGCATCCTGGGCTCTTTTCTCCTTTTCCTTGGGTGAGAGACACCTGCCTTCTGGTCATTTCATCGTTTATCAATACACTTCTACAAGGGCAACTAAGGGGGATGTGGAAATAAACTAAAATCGGTTAAGCCTGATATGCTTAAGCAACTCCAGCAATAAATAATAATAACAACAAATAAACAAATAATGACTGCCTGGGCGGCTGGAGTCAGCGTTAGCGATCCAGGTCGGGTTCCAACAGCGCGCGCGCCCGCATCCCTGGCAATTTCAGCCGCAGGCAGTACTAGGCGCGTCTCCCTTCTCTCTCACCCTGGGGACCCCTGCACCTGCGCCTGACTCTTCCAGGCACTGGTGTGGGAGATACAGTCACTGCCTCTCTTGTCCCCACACCTACCCAACTTCCTGTCCCTCTGGCCCTTCTGATTTCATTTTAATAACTGCAGCTGTTACCTTCTCCCACATCCCCCCTCTCAAAATTCTTTTAAAGCCCTGCTCACAGCTTCGCCAACGGAGCACCCCCACCAGGGCGCCGGGTGCTGGCGGGCGCCGCAGGAGCAGAGAATGGCCTGAGGGCCCTGTGTCCCAGGAAGGCCGCCCCGCCCATCCCCCCCCCCCAAGTGGGCTAACTCAGCCCCAGTTCCTCCCTCCCCGCTCCTGCCCCCCCAGCAGCGGAGCGGCTGCCTTCCGCGTCCAAAGGCTGAAAGAAAAATATATAACGATGCAAATCTTTTTAAAAGAACAAGCAAATCTAAATTTAATCCAACTTACCCTCGTTTCCCAGGAGAAAGGGGCAGAGTGCTCATCTTGCCAAGTTATGTCCTGAAATGAAAATTCAAGAAGAAATCTGAAATCCAAACCCAAACACCCCGTGCAAACATCCCCCGGGGCCTTGGGGGAACTAAAATTTAGGAGTAATCCCAACTCTTGGCTCGAAACAAGACTGCTGTTTTGATGCTCTGCAGAGAATGCGCTGACCTTCTCAGTCTGGCCGCAACCGACCTTTCTGGCTGAAGCTGCCAGGGATGCGCCTCCCTGGCTGGACAGACATCAGTGACCGCCGGGGAGGCCCCCAGACGGACTTAATGACAGGGATGCTGGGTAGGAAGGGAAGGGGGCTTTAGGGCTCAGCCCAACAGTGATGAGCCAAGTAGCCAGTGGAAGATGATTAGCTTTTTGAGCCTCAGTTTCCTCATCTGTCAAAGGAGAACCATTCTTCCCTTGCAGGGGATGTTGTGAAGATTAAATGGGGTAACATAAGAAAAGAACACCAGCGATGATTTGCCGCTTAATGCTGGTACATCTGAGTCCCCATCCCTCCCCTATATGCCTACCAGAGCTCTGAAAGGCACTGATCAGCAAAGTCAATGAAGGAAATGCCAATTTAACACAACTGCCTAAATATAACAAGAACTCTGACATCACCCCCCACCCCCGCCGCACTGGCGCCGAGCACAACGTGATAGAAAGAGCCCTTCTGCACAGTCTTTGAGAACTTGACCTTGGATCCAATATGTCCACTCACTGGTTGGAACGAGGACGGGGAAATGGCCTTTCGTTAGAGACCCTCCAACCCATGGCTACCTTCCTGTGCCAGCAAACCTCTCATCTGTGCCCCGCTTCTGTTTGCTCCCGGACAGGGCCCGGCCTGAGCGGGCCTGCCCAGGGCCAGCGGCCGCGTGTGGCTCCTTGACTTCGCGTAGGAAAGACCTCACAGCACAAGTCCAGGTGATTGAGAGAGTACGTGTATCAGAGCTGGGGACCGAGAAACAAGGAGGGGCTCAGCACAGAAGCAGCAGGGGGAGCCGTGGCTGGGCTGCCTCAGGGCGCTGGGGAGTCAGCGGAAAGGGGGCTTGGGGACAGGTTCAGGGGGTCGGCCTGGGACACGCTGCCGCTGCCGCTGCCCCCTGCCATCGAGCTTAGGAGACACGGTCTGTGGGGAAAGACGGGGGGAGTGGGGGGAGAAGGGAAAGGGAACAGCGGGGGCTGCTCCCAGAGGGAGGGCGCGTGGGCACTGGGCCCTCTGTCTTGAGGCTCTTCTCTCTCATGCGGGCGGGATCTCAGGGGCAGTCTCAGCAGAATATTCTTCAGGTCCCCACCTGTGCCCTCTCAGGTCACGGTCTCCCCGGGTGGCGCAGAGCCAGGGCAGGGGGTCTTCAGTCCTTGCAGCTGGTCCCGGGTCGCCCACCTGGTTCTGCCGCTTTTCTGGGCCCGGATGTCATCTCCAGGGAGGAAAGGCCGCGGAGGAGAGGTTGCCCTGGGGCGAGGCCCTCGTTCTCCCAGTTCTGCCTCTGCCGGGCCCTGGCCCGGGTGACCGTCCACCCAGCTGTAGTGGCCCGGCCGCTGTGTTTGGCGCTGTGTCCCTAAGCTACTTGTGAAGGAATTTTTCTAGCTACTCATACTGGGGATCAGAGTTTCTACACCAAAACATTGGGGACATATTGGGTGATACAGGTTAAACTGGGATAAAATTTTTTAGGTTGAGCCTGTCCTCCCGTAAGTCACCCCAGGTGAATCGTCGTCTTCTTCCCCCGGGGCACCCCTGCCCGACAGCTGGTTCACTGGCTCCCCCCGCCCGGGGCGAACTGGTCCTGCCCGCACGCCTCCTCCCGTCCCCGCCTGACCCAGCCCCTCGCGCCTGCTGCACGTCTGCCCTCACACAGGCCGTCAGACAAAACTTCCAAAATGAGAGGGAGCCTGGGGTCACTCACTGCCCGCCCGCTTGGAATTTCAGTTAAACACAAGTTATTTTCAATTTATAAACCCTGTCCCTCCAAAAATGGAAATGCACTGCCTGGAGGAATGTGAGTTAACAAGCCTTTGTGACCAGGAGTCTCCCAGCAGGGGCTGTGGGCTCGGCATCCTATCCCTGTGCGCGTGTGTGTGTGTGTGTGTGTGTGTGTGTGTATGAGAGAGAGAGAGAGAGAGAGAGAGAGAGAGATGGGGTGGGGGAGGGGTGTAGCTGAGCTAAATGACCTGAAGGTCCCTACACTTCCATGATCTCAGGACCCCGTAAGGTCCTCTCAGAAGTAGTAAAACAAGATGGACTTTGTTTTCGGATGGGAAAGATAAAGGCAGCCGGTGGAATGTGAATCATTTAATCTAGATTTGGACCTGTCCAAGAAAGTAAAGGGATTTCAACAAGCAAGTATGCTCGTGTCTGGAGGTGGGACAGCGCAGTGGCCACCTCAGGGGACAGAGGAAGTGTGTGGGCAGGGGAGGGAGCAGGACCACTGACCAACGGCAGGGCACACTGGGACGGGACCCCCCTCATCATGCGATATGACCTCTTTTTTAAATATTAATTAGGCAGCTTGAGTCCCTTCGAAACCTGCAACGATTAATATAAGGTTTTTGGTTTGGGAAGGCGAACGAGTTCAAGACTCAAAGCCACACAGACCCAGCCCGGAACGTGGTGGGCCAGCAACCTCCAGTGGTCACACGCCCCAGGAGGGGACGTTCCGAGGGCGTCAGAGCCGAGCGGGGGTCACTTTGTGATTTCTCCCCAATGTGGTGTCAAGTCAATAGTCTTTTGTTTGCTCCGGTGAGAAACTGAGTCAAGGGGCAAATTCCTTAGATGTCTGCAATCCTGGGCTCATAAAAAATAATAAAGCGCTTAAGAAAAACAAACACGCCAAAGAAAAATGTGACTGAGGCTCTAACGTGCGGCACTGGCCGCACACCCCAGCCACGGAAAGCGCCGGCGGCGAGAACAGGCTCCCCAGGTCGTGGGTTGCAAATCAGCATCGGAACGGCAAAGTGGAAGCAGGCGTACAGGCACACACACAGCTCTCCTGATCCCACAATGACCAGCAGGCAAAGAGCGCATGGCCAGGCACGCACTTGTGGACGGTCCCGTGCGCCTCCTGCGGCACTGTCTGGAAGGCTCCCCCGCCTGCCTCATAGTGCCCAAGGCCTGAAACTAAGCCCCAAAACTCATGTGCCACCGAGGCCACAGGACAGCCGGGCAGCCTTCATCCGGGCCAAGGGCTGTCCGCTCCGCAAGGGACATCCAGCCCAGAGACAACACTGACTCCCTCTGGAAACGATTCCTGCTCTGCAGCACGGCCTGGGACAAAAAGCAGAAAGGAAGGCACAGAGGGCCGCAGGGCACACAGATCCACGCAGCCATCAGAGGCTGGGGCACACGTGGAGGCTCTGGGGGTCCCTGTGGAACTCCAAGGGCTCACGATGGACACACACCAAGGGCCTTTCCTAACAGTCCAGAGGCCTGGGCTTTTGTTCTTGTCTGGGGCGTGTTCACCCAACACAATGTCACCGCCTAAGAGAAACAGTATTAAAAAAAAAAACATATACATTCCCTGCCTATAGTCCCAGAATGTGTATTCACAGGAAAGCTCTAGCATTTATTACTTGACCACTCAGAAAAACAGATCCCGGGGAGCTGTGAGGGCCCAGTTTTCCTTTCAGAGGCTGCAACCGGCCGCGGCTGAAGCAGGCTCCATCCCAGACCATCAGTGACTGTGACCTGGTTGGCAATGTACTTAACGTACACATAAAAATGGCTGGAACGGTGCATTTTGTTCTATATATTTTACCACACCAAAAAAATCTGAAAAGGCTCTATACTGTATGATTCCAACTCTATCGCCTTCTGAAAAAGGCAAAATTATGGCGTCCGCAGAAAGCCCAGCGGTTGCCAGGGGTTAAAGGGAGGGAGGGGCATCTTAGGGCCGTGAAATGCTCTGTCATGCTATAATCTTAGCTACTTCTCTCAAAACCCATAGAACGTTCACCACCAAGAGGAAACTCTATGTCAACTGCAGACTCCGGGCCATAATGCTGCGTCAGTGCAGGCTGGCGCACCGCGACAAGCCCGCCGCTCTGCTGGGGAAGCTGACCGCGGGGGCGTTGTGCCCGTGCGGGAATTGGGGGCAGGCGCGTGTTCTCCCAGGGGTGTCCAACCTGCAACCCGCGCGCCACATGCAGCCCAACACAAAATCGTACATTTACTTAAAACGCTATGAGATTTTTTTGTGACTCTGTGTCGCAGTGTATTTCCTGTGTGACCCAAGGCAACTCTTCTTTCAGTGTGGCCCACAGAAGCCAAAAGGTTGGACACCTGCTTTCTCCTCAGTTTTGCTGAGAACCTAAAACTGCTCTAAAACATAAAACGTATTTTCAAAAAAAGTGTGTGTTCCCGGGAATAAAGCCCACAGAGATAATAAATAGCCAACGGTCATCATTTCCTAACCAGCACATTTTGTGGTGACCTGTGCTCTGGAGGTCAGTGGCATCTGCTGCTCCTGCAGGGCGGACGGCCCATCGGTGACACTGCAGGGCGCTGGCCGCACCTCCGGGTGCCTTGGTCTCAGTGCATCCCCTGGGGGCTTGGATCCAGCAAGCGCCGCACTGCAGGCCGCTCCGGCCCCCCCGCCCCCCTACTTTGGCTGCAGCGCATTCACCGCAGTCTACATTAAATGTAATTTCTGCAATTCAATTTTTAAAACATGTTGATAATTTTGCTTTTGAAATTATTTGGTTACAAGTAACTCCTCTACAGTTGGCTAAGCTATGTCTGTAAAAGTCATGACTTGACGATACCAAAAGCATCCTAAAAAGAGAAACTCTGGACTGAAAATTCCTTTCAAATGGGGTGACGTTTTATACATATTCACTCTGCCTTTCAATGAGCTGGATTAGACACTCCTGCACATTTCGTCCTCCGTGACTTCCTTTCCACTTGCAGGGCCCGCGCCCTTCACTGCTGCGTGCGGAACAGACGCTGCGCCTGTGGGAGGTTCTGTGCGCGCAGGGGTCCCCTGCCGGCCCTCGCAGGTCGGCCTGAGGAAGACAGTGGG